ACTTGTCGTAATTTTATAACTTCTTTCTCTTATTACTACAACTTAATTCCTGACTTGTATTTTTGTATGACTTTATTCTTGTAATATTCCAGCTTTATTTTTGTAATTTTATTTAATTTTTCTGAGTCTGGCCCAGATAGAATCTAGATAGCAACTAAAGTATTTATGGAGGTTCTGGATGTGACACATGTGGCCTACACAATCGCACTGAAACGCTTGGAAAAAGCTAGTTCAGGATGCTGATTTTGTACATGTTGATGCAAAGTTGAGTGGAAGGAAAACATATACACCCAATTTTGGTAACTAAACATTTTTAGATGCATCTGTGTGTTTGAAAAAGTCAATAAATATTGTAGATGCACATAAAACACTTTGAAAGTGAATATAAATGAGTTCTTTGCTTACAAAGACTTACTCCTCGTCTGAAATGTGTCGTCCCACAGGTGGCCCACCTCATAGAGATGCAGGTGATCCCTCCGTTCTGCAACCTGCTCACAGTTAAGGATGCTCAGGTCGTGCAGGTCGTTCTCGACGGCCTCAGTAACATCCTGAAAATGGCCGACGACGAGGCAGAAACTATCGCCAATCTCATTGAGGAGTGCGGAGGTATGTTCAGCCGCCGCCGTCTCTGTGCAGCTTTTGTTTTCATTTTAAACGTGGGGTCACCTTTGACCTTTATGTTCCACAGGCCTAGAAAAAATAGAGCTTCTGCAAAATCATGAAAATGAAGATATCTACAAACTGGCGTATGAAATAATAGATCAGTACTTCTCATCCGATGATGTAAGTGACACAAGCGTCTTTTTTTCCCCGGTTTGATTCAGTTTGGATTTTTTTTCCGCTGCTGACGCCCCGTTTCTCTGTTGCTTGTTCAGATTGACGAAGACACCAGCCTGGTCCCAGACGCCATCCAAGGCGGGACTTTTGGCTTCAACGCAGCCAACGTGCCAGCCAAGGGGTTCCAGTTCTAGACGTCACCCCGGGGGGGTTATTCTGGAGTTTTGTTCGCGATGCAGCACCCTGTTCAACATAAACCAATTAGGAGAGAAAGAGCGAGAGAGAGCGAGTGTGAGAAATTCGATCCATTGTGCTTGGCTCGTGGGATCCATGGCTGCATCTTATCTGAGAGAGAAAAATATGTGGATTTCATTTGGCATTCCGGGGGGAAACCAGCCCAAATGAAGTTTGAGATGGCGAGTGGATGCGAGTGAGAATGAGTGGCTACATGTTGCAAAAAAAAAAAAAAGAAAAAAAAAAACAGTGGAAAAAAAAATCTAAAAGAAGCAAAACATCTACATCGATTGTGTTGAGAAGACACGCTGACGTAACTTCTGTGTTTATTGGAGCCGCTGTCGACTTGTGTGGAAAACTTCAAACGACGGAAAGAAAAGAAAAAAAATCCTTGGATGTGGATGGGGTCCGTGGACATTGACAAATAGGAAATCAAGACATCTTGAAATATCTCGAGAAAAAAGCAGAAATGAATATAATTATGAACAGAGATGAAACATAAGTCATCACAATTCTGCGATTCCCTCCCCCATTCGCCATGAGAGGGCGCCACCCCAACCAACTGGCCACGTTTATCAGACACGAGTGTGAATGGACTCATTGTGTATGAATGTCTGGACTCAGTGCAGAGGAGCCAGGTTCATCTCCTCTAACGAGAACGCCCTCTGATTGGGCGACCATCCTCAAAGCCCTCCCACTCCACTTCCACTCACCCCTCTCTCCTCGAATGGGCGGGGCCAGGAGTCCGACTGAACGTATCGCGTGTGCGAGAGAATGGACGGATGAGTTGTGTGTGTGTGTGTGTGTGTGTGTGCACGTGGCGTGACTGGGAAAGTGCGCATGTGGAGGCGGGAAAAAGACACAAAAGAAAACGACAACATCTTGAAGAGAAACGCAACAATACAGTAACGCAAAGGTCGCAGGAAAAAGAATTTCTGCCTTTGAACGAGGCCGATCCTCAAAGAACTTTGGAAAATGGAAAAAAAAGAAAATCATCACAAAGATAATTTTTTTATTTTTTTTGTTCAGAATTATTATTTAGTATTAATTGACACTGGACATTGTTTCTGGGAAGCGTAGAGGAGCAGCAGCAGTGCATCGAATCAAGATGCTTATGGGCTTTTCGTTTTGCCTCCAGTGTGTTCCTTTTTTTTCCCTCTTTTTTTTTATTTTAAGTTTTTTTTTTTTTTTTTTTTTTTTTTTACTTTTCTGCTTTTAGTTCCACCGCTTTTCTGTAAAGGTGAATGATGACGACGACCGTCTTACTCCATCCTTCACCTGAACACCAGACGTGAGCTCGATGCTGTGAAACCCGTGAACCAACCAGATCCTCCTGTCACCGCCTCACCTTTTCGTCATTTCACAGCGCAGACCACCGCTTCGGAAGCGCTGCCGCCACAGCTTTTGAGCGCCGCCACGGGAGAACAAATCGATGGCCACGTCTCGTAGGATTGTGAATCATAACCCTTGCATGTACCTAGCACAGTTATTTTTAGGGTAATTTTTAGTTTCCTTAGGCTGTGAATACAGTGAAATTTTCATTTTGAGTAATACTGTGCTTAAATGTTACATGTGTCCCTTTGCCCACCCTGCCCCCTCCACCCACGTCCCACCCTCCTTTCTGCTCACTATTGTCAAATTTACTAAGTAATCTGTATGGTTTTGCACATGTACTGCAAAGTGAGGCCTGGGTGAGTGTTGGCGGGCTTTGACCCGCCGCCGATCCCTTTACATTATGCATCACTCAGCCACAGTCTTTGTTGTCTTTCTAAAGTGATCTAATTATACTTTTTAGTGCTATTTGAGAGTAGAATGACTTTATTTCAGCGGCAGCAGTTGACAAATCTGCTGATGTATCTCAGTTTGACTTGGAGGGGATTTAACCTCGCTCCTCATAAGGTCAAAAGGTGTCCCATGTGTCAAACTGAAGCTGTTCAAAGCGGGTTTAACTGAGTAATAAATAAACCCATGAACAAGTTTGCTGTAACTTAAGTATCTCGCAGAGTCCTCTCCCTTGACCCCTTTTTGCTCTTCTACAAGCTAAATGTACAAGCTTAACCTCTTCTGTTTTTGTTTTGTTTTTTGTTAACTTCAAACACTGTAGTAATGATTATACATTGTGCTCATAAACCTTCTGTTGAACATAGGGATAATATTTTTTTTTTGTTTTTTGCAGCATTCCTTGTTAGCAAAGTGGTTTCAAATCTTAAAATTATGACCTGAAATAATGGAGAAAGCCTAAAAACCTTTTTTTTCCCAGGGAGAAATGAAGGTTAAAGGACAGGTTGTCGTCATGAAAATAAATAGTGAAACCCAAACTGAGAGACTGAGCGTGGGTGTGTGTGTGTGTGTGTGCTCTCATGTGAAAAATCTAAATTCATCTCGTTCCAGAACAATTTGAACCGATTTTATGCCTGTGTGTTGCCATTTTGCACATATAGACTAGTTTCTACAAAAAAAAAAAAAAATTACTTTTTAACATAGATGTTAAAACTGTTATTTTGTTGTGACTGTAAGGTATGTGACAGATAATCTGGAGGTAAAAAATCCAGCTTCTCTATTCTACTGTTCCTGTCCTACTGCCATTTGTGGAAATGCACAGCTTTGTTTGAAGCCACCGATCACTCAGGAGGGTCTTTCCGCTGTCAATCATGCTTGTATATACATCACTCACACGCTCTGGCGTGCTCTCTGGTACACTTACAGCTTCTTCCTTATAGCAGAGCCTGCCATGAATGCTAAGACTAGGCAGCATGGCCAAGACGGAGGTTAAACCATTTTCCTGAATCGGTAAGTTAATGAATTTTTTATTATTGGTGGCTTGCAACTAAATTTCACTCCACATGTCCATTTAATATGTGTAGTTGCATGACAGTCTGGCCTGAGCAACATATACACAAGCATGACTGATGACACTCAGACCCTCTTCCTGATTGGCTGTTTTGACCGGAAGCTTTGCAAATCTGCAGATCACAGTAGGATTAAAGGGAGGAGGTAGAGGAGCTTTTTTTTTTTTGTTTTTGTTTTTGCCTCCCTCCACATATTCCATGACCTAGTGACACTTTCACAAATATTTACAAAATAAATAAGTTGCACACTGCAGCTTTAAATGCTGCACATTAATTTTGCAACTTTTGTTAAATAAGAGTGGGGAAAAACTGGAGCGCGTCTACAGAGTAATCAGCCAAAACATCAGAATATGTTTGGAACATTGAACTGGACTTCAGTCCCATCATGTGCACCCAAGACGAAATTAATGATGTGCGAGTTTCCACCTCACTGTGGGGTAACTTATTCGGGCTAAACACAGTATGAATGAGTGGTGAGTGTCTTGATTTTATTTCTTTTAAAACGGTATGAAGAGGACCAACATCCCATGATGCAACAGCCACCTTGCTTCATCGTGTACTCTGGTTTAAATGCTGGGTCTTATGAATCGACCCAGGAACCAACCGAACGAATACATACTTAATATACTTTGTGACCTTTATCTCCATAATGAATACTCAAATGAAGAAGCTTAATATATACGTTTCTTCACAAGGCAAAGTGTAAACAGCCAGCGCTCATTTCCAGCTACTGGCATAGTTTCAGAGATCGTTCAAACGGGAGACGAGACGCTCCCTCATTGGCTGAACTGGCCGATTGACCGTTAATCCGCATGCGCATTATCGAAAATAAAAAATGGACCCGGTCGGAAAGCATATGGTCCATTCAATGTGTAATAGAAAATGGGAAATTCCGAGATCCAAGTGGGAGAGAGGTGGGATTCTGGAATTTGGCTCGTTTGAAAAGGTTTGTGTCGCGTCAAAAATGACAGAATTGTACACTTAACCGCATTTTTTTTCTTTTTTGTGATTGAAAGAATAATGTGAAGATGAGTGCACTGGTGCGCACCTGAAACGCCACAAAGATCAACTCTAACTTTCGAGGCAAAATAAACGCAGCATATTATTCAAGGAACGTCATAACTTCCCTCTAAACCGATGCCTTTGTTGTTTTCTGTGCGCTTCCAAAACATTGAGAAACGTTTAATACGTGAGCTGGTATTTATTTTTCCGAGTTAAAAATACAACTGCCTGGTTTTGAACGTTAACGCTGCCTCCGCGTTGCGACCCGTCTGATTTGGAAAGGCGAGTTTACGAGACGCGCATGAAAGCAGCACGAGGAGGAAGAGGAAAGGAAAAGCTGTTATGGACACTTTCCTCTGAAAACAGGGTAAGTGTGAACGTTTTCTCCTGAAACATTTCAGTACTATTCACATTTCGTTTCCAGTCGAGTTAGCTGACTAATCACAAACCATAAATAAGTTAAACAACGTGTGCCGTAATTAGAAGAGCTTCTAATTATCCGCAAAGCGGTATTGGTGGGAAGTAACATAAACATGCATCTTTTATTGTCACTGTAGCTGCTGGCCGTAACAAGAGGAGACGCTAAACAACATAAGTGACCGGGGTAACATGAGCCAAGGGTTTCCTGCCGCCTTCTTGTTTGCTAAAGCCAAATATTCCCAGGAACAAAGTGCTGAATGTGAAGAGGGTCCAGCTGCACGTCTGCATTTAATTTTCTCTTTTGTAATCTCAGCAGCCAGAAATGTCTTCTGATCTCTGAAGGCCTGGATCAATAAGTTACAGACGCACACAGCTCCTGATCTGGAGAGACCAGTTCAGCCAACAATCATATTTTTGAACAGGGTGAGGAGTCCAGAGTACCCAGGGCAAACCCACACATGCATATGGAGAACAAACAGGAAGACCCCGTATCAATTTCTCTTTTTTTAGCCAATAACCTTTTGGGAATCACCTTGGAGCTAAAATGCTACCTTATATCTATTTGTGATGTCGCTCATAGATTGAGTTAAAACAATATTCCGTATTTCTATAAGTGTGACTGAAAAAACCTCAAAGCGTCCAATTTAAAGTTGGTTCTAGATCTAGAAGATGTCTGGCAACATTGGTGACCTGTTCCTTAAGCTAGGAAGTCAGTTAATGAAGGACTCAATGAGCAGCTTAGCAAACAATAACAAAAAAAAAATCCTGTCTACATATGCACTGGGCTCAAAGAAAAGATTTGCCCTTTGTTTCCACCTGGGCTTTTTTTCCCCCCTCTCTAAAAACAAAAAGAGCGTTCATGCATGAAAAGTAAAGTCGTCTTCAGTCAACCAGCTGACTGTCGGCCCACTGCAAAGGCCAATTTCAAAACTGGACCTTTGTTTAAAATGTTGACATGCAGGCTTGTCTGTTGCAGCTGCCATTTAAAATTGCTCTGTTGCTAGAAGGTGTCTGGTATGTGTAAACACAAAAAAAAAAAATTCAGCCACTAAACCTGGACAGGTGCTAATGCCCGAGAGGAAAAAGCATCCAAAGAGCAATGTCAGAATGAGACGGTTTAGAAATGTTACAAACATAAGGATGATTTAATGTTCTGCACAGTATAGTTGCACACTGTAAAAAGTGTGGAAAGATATTAAAATAATAAATATCCTAGTTAATGCTCTGAAATCTAAAATGCATGGTTGAAACCTGAAAATCACAAAAGTCAAGCGGAGCAACGGTAAATGTACCGAAACAGAAGTTTTCATGACTGAAAACAATAAAAAAAAACACTGCATTTCAAACCCAGTTAAGAAACTTTCAAGGTCACTGCAGTCAGAGGAGAAAGGCATCGAGGGTCAGGCATTTTGAAAATCATCACCTTGCTAAAGTAATGGCCGAAGAAATTTAGGCAAAAACAACAAAAAAATCACTTTTGGTGACAAAGTGACATCGTTTTGTTGTTTTCATAATACCAGTAAAAATCAGAAGCCAAAACCTACTTAACATTCTCACTGTTGTTTTACTACAGTAATCTACATTTAGATTATTATTATTTTTTTCCTTCTTTTTATTATGACTGTCAGCTCCCCCCCCCTCGCGGCGTCCCGTCCACTGCCAGCGATGGACAGCCTGGAGGAGGACCTGACCTGCTCCGTGTGCTACTCGCTGTTCTCCGACCCGCGCGTCCTGCCGTGTTCCCACACCTTCTGCAAGAGCTGCTTGGACAACCTGCTGCAGGTGTCCACCAACTACTCCATCTGGCGCCCGCTGCGCCTGCCCATAAAATGTCCCCACTGCCGGAGCGTGGTGGAGCTGCCGCCGACCGGCGTGGACGCGCTCCCGTCCAATGTGTCTCTGCGAGCCATCGTCGAGAAAGTAAGACGCGTTTTCGAACTGAAAACCGAGACAAACATACGTGCTGATTTGCGTCTCGCCGTTTCAGTACCAGAGGGACAGCGAGCCGCGGGCGCCGTCCTGCCAGGAGCACCGAAGGCAGCCGCTCAACATGTACTGCGTCCAGGACCGGCAGCTGATCTGCGGCCTGTGCCTGACCGTCGGCCAGCACCACGGCCATCCCATAGACGACCTGCAGGCGGCCTTTGTCAGAGAAAAACAAACCCCGACGCTGCTGCTGGCCAGGCTCTCGGAGCAGAAGTGGAGTCAGGTGAGGCGGTTGAGCGGCCCTCTGGGAGTCTGTGGGGGGAGAGAGGCTAAACCGTAACGCTGTCCCCCCGCCCCATGTTTCAGGTGTGTGAACTGGGGAAGCAGCTGGAGCAGGAGAAGGCGCGCTGCGACGCTCTGCTGAGGCAGGACCGGCAGGAGGTCAACCAGTTCTTCGTCTCTTTAGAGGAGGTGCTGGCCAGGAAGAAGCAGGCCTACCTGGAGGCTCTGACCGAAGCTGCTGCAGAGGTGGCCGCGACCTACGACCCCCTCATCCACAGAGTCAAGGAGCTGCAGGTGTGTGAAGCCCTGCCACAATAAGCAATCAATCGGTTAATTTCATGACAAACTAAAACAGGGTTTCCGCACTGTAGTAAAATGTAACAAATAGAATTAAAGCTGCAAGCAGACTGTCTGCAGCAAACATCAAATGTTTGCTGCAGGATTCTGGTTGGATTCATTTGACGGGGACAGACAGAGAGTTGTGTGAAGCCAACTTCCTTGGGCTCCTGAGCAACCTGGTTGCCCTTCCATCGGCAACATTTCCAACCGACGTAGCTTCACTTTTTAGCAGTTGGTTGGATTTGGGGGGCAAGCATCGTTGTTCAGGCTGCGGGTCAGAAAAACACAGCCTGGCTGATAACAACGTCCTGGTATTTTTTCTACAAAGGCAGACAAGAAAACGCCCAGTGACTGATCCCCAATCAGACTGTGGATGTGCCTGCAGGATCTGGAATCAAGCGGTTCCACCTGTCCTCCGTTATCTGGGGGGGTTCAGAGCCGGCCCACTTTTACGCGTACTTGATCCAAACAGTGAAGGCAGATGATGAACATGTCTTCACTGCAGACAGCCGCTGCAGTGAAGACATGGATGAAAAGGGATTCATTTACATGTATGAGAAGGAAGGAAATGAAGTCACACAAGACGCTGCGGTTTCTCCAGCTCCTCCTCTTGAACGCGATCAAGGTGCTTTTGGAGAGGAGCTAATAATAGCGAATTCGGAAGATGAAAAAAATCACAGAAGAGATAATTATTGAGCATTTTGAGGCTGGAGAAATGCGACTGGGACTGAACATGTGTCCTGATGTGTTCAGTTAAATAAAATGATGGGATTGACCGGTTTCCTGTTTGCAGGTGTCTCTCTCTGGGTACTCCGGCTTCCTGCCACAAATTAAAATCAAGACTGTTTGGCCAATCGGTCTCTAAATTCTGTTAGTGTGATTAAAACATTTCTTTCTTTGGAGTAAAACATTTGTCTGGGTACTTCTGTCTTCATGGGATTTGCATGTTTGTATGTATATGTATGTTTGTTTATAATTTACTGATAATAAATCATCCACTTTTCATTATATTTTGTGTTTTTAATGGTTTCCTGTTGCTTCAATTGGTCGGCTGATCTCAGGAGGAGCAGTTGGACCTGGTGTCTCTGGGGTCGTCCGTGGAGGAGGAAGACTCCCCCCTGGTGTTCCTGGAGAAACTCCATCAGTTCAGAGATCGGGTGGAGAACTTCATCAGAACCCCGCTGCCCTCTGGGATCAACCTCTCGGTGACGCCGCGCGCCGCGTCCTACCTGCAGCAGAACTGGCCCGCAGTGACCATCAGCAGCCTGGAGCAGGCGCCGGTCCCCAAGCTGTGCTGCTGCACCAGACGCGTCGGCCCGGAGACCGGAGCAGAGGCGGACCCGCCCGTCACGGCGGCCTGGGACAGGTGGCGCCAGCTGAAGCCCACCGCTTCCGTAGCTCTGCTGGGCCTGCTGCTGCTTCTGCTGCTGGCGGCGCTGTGGGCCAACCCCGTCGGAGGTGCGTCGTTCGGGTTCTCCGTCCTGTCCCGCCTCAGTCAGCTGGCCCAGAGTCTGAGCGGCAGCCTCGTCACGTCCGTGTGGGACACAATGGAGGCGAAGTGCGCAGAGATGGGGGCTGCGGTGCAGAGGTGCAGCTCGCAGCTGTCTGTGTTCAGAGACCGAGTCGTTCAGCAGGTGAAAGCTTTACTTGAAGCGTCAACGTCTCGCTGACGGAAGGCTGAACGTGGAGCAGTCTCATTTCCCGGTTCCAAAGAACCAAAACAGCCTGACTTTAGTTACTTTCTAAACATTTGCTAGTTAAGATTTCGCATTAACGGGCTTGTTTGAGGTTTCAACATTTAAAAACCAAAACTACGTTGTGTCCAGCCTAAACAGCAACAAGTTTTTTTTTTTTTTTTTCAGCGAAACAGGGATTTAATTAAGCCAGAACCTCTTCTGCTCATTTCCTGTCAGCACATTTAGGAAATGAAGACGATCAGAGGAGAAATGCTGCAGCAGCAGAAAGTTTCTCGTTCATTTCCTGGGTGTTTTATTCTGTAATCACATTATGTAGCAATATTCATTTTTGATAAGCGTTTCTTTTTCTTCCACCCATAAAAGATGCAGAAACTTGCATCAGATTTTTCTGACATTATGGGACACGTTGCATGTGGACCTTATGACTCTAGACTGTTTACAATAATGGAGGAATGTGTTGCATGACGAGTGACTCCCAATCTGTGCCTTTAATTATCCTGCCTCCCCATTTCCTCCAGGACCAGCACTTTTAAGGAAGTGGTGCATCTTGAAAATCTGCCTCAGAACAAAGTCCATCATGACGCCTTATTTATCATGTTTTGATGTAAACTGGGATTTTGAAATGTGGCAAAACCACAGCACACGACTGTCTGAAACAAAATACATGGAAAATGTAAGAGGTTGTTGTAACCTGTAGGGGTTTTTTTTTGTTCTATAAACCTTTTAAATATTCAATAAATAAAATTTGCAGAATCACAGCTTTCAAGCGTCCATTAAACTGTGAATTCAAGACTATCACACTATGTGCTGCCACCTACTGGACAGCTAGTGCAAGTTCATAAATGACACCTTTAGATCAAGACAGTTGAGAAAAAGACAATAAATAATTGTTACACTTAATCTCTCAGTTAACATTTTACAACTGCAGCCACTTCCTAGACATTGCATGGCGCTTCCATCGCGATCGACATGTATCTGCTTTACATTGGTGGCATGTTCTACATTTCAGTTTGAGTCCCTACACACTTGGTTAAAAATTATATTCTACCAATGGATTTCTGACTTCCAGCCCTTAAAGTGAGCTATAATGATAATAAAAAAAAAACTTATTGCATAGCAAAAGCTGCTCTGAATCTGTCAAATCAGTGATAAACTGTTTATGTTCGAGGGATCAGATTTCAAGAGGTCAAAACATCTTTTTGCCTTTAGTAACATTTCAGTTCATTGTAAATCATGATAGCTGGAAATGTTGAGAATTTAGCCAATACTGTAAAAAGCATTCACATTAAATGGACGTTTTCCCCTGAACATGATTTAAAGAGCTGGAAGCTCTGGAGTGCTTCCATTTTGTTTAAAAATAATTTCACCAAGAAGTTCATGAAAAAAACCCTTTAATTTTTCAGAAGAAAGAAATAGCAGCACGTTATTGGAAAGGACAGTATAAATATTTACATGGTTTATGAAAGAACATTAAAAGAAAACGACAAAGTTGGCTTTTATGCTGTGATGGCATCGTGTTCTCTGAACACGATTGTTTTGGGATTGATTCCGACACTTTTGGTCGTGTTGTGCGTTTTATAGATGCCAATGAGACGATCCGCGATCTCAAACATGTTGTTCCTCAAGGAGATGATGATGAACTGAGCGTTCTTTGTCTGTTCCTGCAAAAAGAAAAAAAGAAACATGTTTTATTTATTTAGGCATACAAAGTTACTGTTGAATCATTTCTCGGTGCAGTCGGGATTCTCTCCGTTTACACCCTTTAAAGCTCAAGGATCATTCTGTTGCAGTCACACAGTGACATTGTTGTCACAAGAAGAAAAAGTTATGATGCGACTATGAAGAACGAATCATAAAAGCTTTAAAAATATTAAAGTAAACTAGCAGCCCGATTGTGCTCACATAAATGTAACAGGCAACGATGGAGACGTTCTTGAAGTCCAGCGCGGCATCGATCTCGTCCATGAAGTACAGCGGGGTGGGCTTGTAGTGATGCAGCGCAAACACCAGAGCCAGAGAGCTGAGGGTCTTCTCCCCTCCTGACAGGTTAAAGATCTTTTTCCAACTTTTCTTTGGTGGACGAACACTGAAACAAATAAAAACAAAATACGTCAAATAAATAAACATGGCGCTGTAACATCACATATAAATCCCAGCATGCACCAATAAAGTCTCGACTGCTTTCTTTTTCTTTTTTTTAATCCTCCCTTACCTGAACATGATTCCCTCAGAGAACGGGTCCAAGCTGTCCACCAGCTCCAGCTCTGCATCCCCACCTAGCGTCAGCATCTGGTAGTTCTCCTTCAGCTTGTTGGTGATCATGTTGAACCCGGTCATGAACTCGTTGAGCCGCTGCTTACGGAGGTCCTCGAAGGCGTGCTTGAACCTGTCTCTGTCCGCTGTGATCTCGTCCAACTGGGCGACGCGCTGCAGGTACAGCTCCTCCTGGTGACACAAAGCGTCGGAGGTGACGCGCGTTAGTTTGTCTTACGCCGACGTAAAAACAAAGCCTGCCGTTAGCGCTCGGGTTTCTCCTCTCCGGTCAGTTTCGTGCCAGTGAAAACGTGGACCTGCACATGTGGGCTTGCAGCGGGACGCAAACGTTTCAAAATGCGCAACTTTTGTGTCGAGTTTCAACATTGACCTGCCACCGTCGCTCCTGACGGACACACAAAGCTCGGATGGATGGAGAGCACGGCTTCATGGCAACAGGGAGAATGCGCCGTGCAACTTTCCTGGAAGTCATTGGATGGATTGTCAACGCATGGGCTTCAGTGACAACAAAACCATTCTGTCAGGATTCAGAAAGGCTGGAATAATTGGAACTGCGACTGACGATGAGTCTGACGTAGAAGAGGAAGCGCCACATCTTCTACCTGCGATGTTGTTTAGTGATTTGGAGAGACGAGTGGTTTGGTAAACTTGTTAGCATGTTATTTATGCTATAGTTATCTGAATAACTCTTAATATGTTTGTTGTTTGTGTGTCATGTAACATTAGCATACTGTTATTCAGCCTGTTGCCTCTATTCTATTTTTATTTTAAATTGCATTTTAAGATGATATGTCTGTTCTTGGTGTCGGATTTTATCAAATAAATTTCCCCCCAAAATGCAACTTATATATATATATATGTCTTTTTCTACTTTAATATGCATTTTATGGCTGGTGCAACTTATAATCCAGAAAATACTGTAATATATTTGAAGCCAACTTACAAATTTAAGATTTATAACTAGTTGCATGAATTTAAGACTTTTCAAGCACGCAGAGAGCCTAGAAATATATTTTCTCTCAGGCATGAGAAGGAGTCCTCCTTCGCCCCGACCAACAAAGACCACCGGGACACCTTGGAGTGTTTGAGTGTACCTTCTTCTTGTACTCTGCAATGGCTCCTAGATTGGGCTTCATTTGACTGCACTGGCTCTCCAACATGCTGATCTTGTTCACCAGGACGTTTGGATCCGAGATGGCTTCCAGCGCAGCAGGGGGAAAGACACGGAGTTCCTCTGCTGGCTGGCCCTCAATGGTGTGAAGGGACAGCTTGGTGCTCTGGAAGACAAAAAAACCAGGCATTATTAAAGACAACAGGGAGCCTGGTTGTTCCCCAGCTGTGTGCTGCTTTAGTTATGCGACTCACCTCGTCCTGCCAGTACTTGATCTTGCCGTTGTGCTTGGCGATGGCGGCGTCTATCTGCTCGATGGTCAGCCGAACGTTGAGCGACTCTTCCTGCAGCGCGTGCTCCTGCTGCTGCAGGGCCTTGATCTCCTTGGAAACGTTCTGATACTGCTCCTGCACCTCAGGCAGAGTGGCCTACACAAGCCGAACCAAAGCGAGAGTAAATCAGTTTTATTGATGCTAAGGATGTCCTCCGAGAGAAGCACTCCCCCGGCAGGTTTAAGATGTCCTGATACGAATAACGTAAATGGCGAGCAGCAACCTCTGCCTCGTGACAGGCTTTCATGATCTCTCCTGCCTCGTCTTCCAGTTTCTTCAGCTGCTCTGTGAGCTCAGCCAGCAACGTCTCGTTCTCTGCCAGCTCCGCTTGCACACGAGCAAAGCTCTCCTCACACTTTTTCAGGTTTCTGGAAGACAAACGGAAGAGGATTTAGACGTTTCTCCAGCGGTGTTGACAGTTTCAAGTGAGCAACAGCTAAAGCAGACCAGATCAGTGACAATCATTTCACTGGCCCTCAGAAAGGAAGGCGTTTGTATTGCTCTGGTTAGATGCTACTCACTTTAACTTTGTACACGTTTGCTTCTATATCCAAACGAAGTTTCACCGAGCCATGCTGCTGCAACCAATAGGAAAATTCAACTGCCTAAGCGCCATCAGACCGAAAGAGGCCAGCAGTGAGATGGTTTTAATAATGCTGAACTGAACAAATGCTAAGTAACCTATTTAGACAGTTTGTCAGCAAAAACAAAAGTTGATGTGGGGGTTAGTTTAACTTTAATGGAGCATTCATGACCACCAACCGCCAAACTGGGAAGGAGTGCGACCAAGAAAAAGGGAAAAAAATAAAATAAAAATCACCTTATATTACAAATTACACCGTCTTAAACTTAAAGTAAATATCAAACCATATCCTATTTTAGACGCATATATAATGTCCAGTTTAGACTGATACGTTTGATACACAAAACAAAAAAAAGCAAATAAGCAGTTAATAAAAATGAACCAATCATAGAATCTAGACTGCATTCAGTGTCTTGATGATGAAACTTTGCAAAACTGAATTAAAGGGCAAACGGCATCAAACCTTTGAGCCAAACCTGCTAAACCAGGGAATGTCTCAGGCAGGACATTTTTGAAGCACACAGGAACATAAACTTGTATGGTGCAGATTTGTATATCTTAAAAATTACCTACTGCATCATTAAGACTCACTAAAAGTCCTCACTATTCCTAACATTTCGTCACTTTAGGAGGTCTCAAAGCCTAAGGTTCTCCGTGAATAACTTCTATATTACCAAGATTAAATTCTATGTGAGAACAAAAAAAAACAACAACAACAAAATCACCACTAGGAGCCACTTTCTATATCTTAGACATTATATATATATATATATATAAAATTCCCTTCTCACCCACCGCGGGTGGTTCTTATCCTCTGAGCTCGGGTCCTCTACCAGAGGCCTGGGAGCTTGAGGGTCCTGCAGTATCTTGGCTGTGTCAAGGACTGCACATTTCTGGACTGAGATGTCTGATGTTGTTCCTGGGATCTGTTGTAGCCACTGCTCCAGTTTGGGGGTTACTGCCCCGAGGGCCCCGATGACCACAGGCACCACTGTGGTCTTCACCTTCCAGGCCCTCTCCAGTTCTTCCCTGAGGCCCTGGTATTTCTCCAGTTCTCGTGCTCCTTTTTCCTGATGTTGCAATCACTTGGTATTGCTACATCTACCACAACGGCTTTCCTCTGTTGTTTATCCATTACGACAATGTCTGGTTGGTTCGCCATTACCATTCTGTCTGTCTGGATCTGGAAGTCCCACAGGATCTTAGCTCTGGTGTTCTCCACCACCTTTGGGGGTGTTTCCCACTTTGATCTCGGGGTTTCCAGTCCATATTCTGCACAGATGTTTTCTGTACACTATGCCTGCCACTTGGTTATGTCGCTCCATGTACGCTTTCCCTGCCAGTATCTTGCACCCTGCTGTGATGTGCTGGACTGTCTCAGGGGCCTCCTTGCACAACCTACACCTTGGGTCTTGTCTGGTGTGGTAGATCTGGGCCTCTATTGCTCTGGTGTTTAGG